GAAACATTATCTGTAACCCTTTATTCATTGTCAGATATTTCCCAGTAACTATACTAGACAGAAGAAACAATATCTGTAACCCTTTCTTCATTGTCAGATATTTCCCAGTAACTATACGTTACTGTGACATATCTGACAATGAAGAAAGGGTTACAGATAAGTTACTGAGAAATATCTGACAAAAATAAAGGGTTACAGATAATGTTTCTTCTGTCTAGTATATTCTGTCTAGTATAGTTACTGGAAACATTATCTGTAACCCTTTATTCATTGTCAGATATTTCCCAGTAACTATACTAGACAGAAGAAACAATATCTGTAACCCTTTCTTCATTGTCAGATATTTCCCAGTAACTATACTTGACTACAGATACAATATCTAACTCTTTCTTCATTGTAAGTAACTATACTTGACTACAGATACAATATCTAACTCTTTCTTCATTGTAAGTAACTATATTAGACAGAAGATATAATATCTAACTCTTTCTTCATTGTCAGATATTTCCCAGTAACTATGCTAGATAGAAGAAACAATATCTGTAACCCTTTCTTCATTGACAGATATTTCCCAGTAACTATACTAGACAGAAGAAACAATATATTTAACCTTTTCTTCATTGTGATTAATATTAACAATAATAAATATATCAAATTAAAATTAGTCTTAAGTTATTACTTATAATTATTAGAATGCATTGTTTCACCAGTTGGGTACCCTCGCTGTTAACGATATTTTCGGCCATAAATCCAATGACATCTCACGATCTTCAGCAAGCTTAAGAGATTTAAGCTAGTCCTAAAAATACATTTTAAGCTAACAATGCAAAACAATCTTCACAATATAAAAATATCACAATAAACGACAAGTAACTATATTCAATATAGTAATTAGTATAACTAATATTAATAATGAAAGCAACAACAACAACCAAACAAAACAGCATACGTTACTTAGGGAACTTACAAACACTAGTTCTTGTCTTGAACCATAGTCGTTGATGTATATTGATGTGAAAACATGCTTTCTCTAACACCTACTTCATTTCACCAAAGTTATCAAATATGAAATAAACTTTGGTAATTAAATGAGACTACGAATCTCAGATGGTTTTTTTAATTATCAAACAGTGGTTAATCAAAATATTTAGTAGGAAATTATTAAAAAATAATTATTATTATTATAGTAACCAAAGCGAAATTATATATATACAAAAATTCTAGGCTGTTCATTCATCCACATACCTAGCAGACAACAGGAAAGGAGTAACGTTATGAACCAGTGTATATGCAAAACATAATCCACTGAAGTTGTATCCGAATTAACGGCTTAACTAATTTTGATAAAATTTGTCTCAAGTCCACAAAACTATTTTTATTGTATTAAGTATATAACTTAGGGAAATCCAGCACTACACCCTAGATAACTTTGACTTGCATATTTACTAAACCCGAGGGCTCAAATTGACGCACGTGACTCCTCAGTCTGAGTAGTGATGCAGAGATCAGAAAAGGAGCTGAGTACGAATTGTAAATTCTTTATTGATTTTAAAAATGAGAAATATAACATACATTTATGAATTTCAATGGCTTATAATGATTAGGTTATAATGAGAAAAAAAAAGAGCTCGGGCAATCCGTTCACTAAACAGTTATATTAAGGGACAGATGAATCTTACCTTGGAACTAACTTTCTTCAATAGTGAAGCCTCGTCTTCATGGCGAATGCCTGGAGTCAATAAGAGCAGCCCTGCACGGCGCCGCTCGACACGCCTGTCAGGGAGAGTAAGGCTATTGAACGATGGGGGAATCATTCATTGATCAATGTTTACATCGCTCCATCAGTTCCGTCCCTCTCTCGAGCACAATGAGTGTTTTTTTATTTCCGAAGTCAATTTGAGAAATTGCAGTGCTCATGTGAGTGTATTCTATTCAACGAAAATCAAGCTCGTGTGATTTACTCGACTCTTCTGCGTTGTCACCGTAAAAGCCAGTTAAGCTTTGTGCACAAGCCGAAATTGATGTACTAGTGGAAATTTCTGACGTCATGGGATTGCTCGAGGCTTATAGGTAGTGTGTAACGGAGATAAACTAGATATTAACGCCAGTTTTCAGGCTCATAATAGAACTAAAGAGCCCCCAGAAATCTAGGGAAGTTTCCATGCATTGTAGCCAACAAAGGCGGTTCCGAGGTCATAGTAAAGCGCTATTGGTTGGTAGAATCACGTGGCTTGTTCAACCTATAATTCTGTCATTTACCGTTCATGATTTACCGTCCATTTATTTTCTGATTTATCTCCAACAACGACAGCTGATTTGTGGCACATCTTCAAAGCTTTTTTATCTGGAAAGACACTCTAAGAAGTTATGAATTCCAATGTTGTGCATTCCACATCGTGTCATAACAGTCAGCCGGGAACCTACGGAGCTTCTCTTTATGGACCCGAATTAGCGGCTCCCCACATTTTTTACGGGCAGTCCCCGGAGCATCTCCCACGACCAAACAATCACTATGTCGGGAACAGCGTGGTCACTTCTTTTCCTGGTCTTGACCACCGTTCATCCCTGCTTAATCGAGAGGGGAATAGCCAATTACCAGCACACCTTGCAAACGATACATCTAGTGGAATGGCCTACAATAACCTGGACGGCAGCGTGCGCTATGTCCACCCAGGGCGTCTCGGACATTCGGAAATTGGGAACAGTGGAAATCACACTCTCAGTAGTATGGGGTACGTTTCCTCGTCGACGGACACCGGACGATCTAACGCTACTCAAATTGCTGAAAATTTTGCTTTCGGAGTCTTGGAGTACGGTTCAGAAGCAAAATGTCCTCGTAATGTATCCCCTCATCATCAAAACATGATTATAACGGGTTCAGAGAGTCGTCGTAACGGGCTTGATGCTCCCGGCGTGGATACTACCACGAGCCCTCATCCTTGTATGGCTACAGTGGGCCTCCCGCGGAGGAATGGCTTCGGCTACCAGCAGGGATATGAAGCTTCTCACCGGGACACCTGCCAAAGTGACAGCGGCACCTCAGAAGGTGTAGTTATCACCAGTAAAACCTCGTTGATGGCTCAGCACTCTGCCCCTGTCCCTAAGTATAAATGGATGCAATTCAAAAGAAACATGTCAAAAAACGGTAAGTTATTTTAAGGATATGTTAAAAGCCCTATTAATATTTCCTCAAGCGAGAGTCTCTTATGTTAACATAATTTATAGAAAACGAAGCAAACCAGGACACCCCCAAAAAAATTGGTTGTTTTCTCGAGATAATGAATCTGATAGTTCTCATTTGGTTGATAAATTGTACAATTTTCTTACACCACTTTGCATCTGCCTTCAGTTTTTATCACATGTTTTTCATTCCCAAGTCTTTAGTGGTTGGTAAATTAGACATTTTTCTTATCTCACTCTGCATCCGCTGCCAGCTTTTATTATTTGTTTTTTGTTGTTTTTTTTCTGAGTCTTTAGTGATTGGTAAATTGAACATTTTTCTTACATCACTCTGAATCCGCCTTCAGCTTTTACTATATGTTTTTGTTGTTGTTTTTCTCTGAGTCTTTTGTGATTGGTAAATTGAACATTTTTCTTACATCACTCTGAATCCGCCTTCAGCTTTTATTATATGTTTTTATTGTTGTTTTTCTCTGAGTCTTTAGTGATTGGTAAATCAGAAAATTTTCTTACATCACTCTGCATCCACCTTCAGCTTTTATTATATGTTGTTGTTTTTTCTGAGTCTTTAGTGATTGGTACATTTGAAAATTTTCTTACATAACTCTTTATCCGCCTTCAGTTTTTATTATATGTTTTTTTTTATTTCTTGGTATTTAGTGGTTGGTAAATTTGGCACTTTTTCTTACATCAATATTCATCCACCTTCAGCTTTTATTATATGTTTTTTGTTTTAATCCTTAAATATTATAGGATTGGTCTACTGAGCAGGTGCTTTAATTGTAGTGTAGCTTGAGTAACCGCTCAAAGAGAATCTCAGAAACTCTTTATTTTGATCTCTATACATTAAAAGTGCTATCTATTAATCTTGCGCGTTTTTAGTTTCTGAGTGAAGCAGGTTCCGATTTAACTTTTTGTTTACTTTTTTTTTATATTCGTAATGTTAAGGTGAGTTTAAAACAGCTATTCTACAACAAGCGACTTGCTTCCGTACTTCTTGATAATCCGAGCATGGCGTTCTGGGTATGCGTCTTGAGTTCGTCTTTACATGCTATTCTTTGTATTCTAGAAAGCCAGACTAAGGACTCGGATGACAATATAGAGCCTATACTGTAACTCTGACCGAACATGCTATTAAAACTATGATGTTCAGTTCAGAGTTGCTATATTTTGGATGGAAAATAATAATTATATTTTAACACCAGTTTTGAGAAAAATATTATTTATATATTTTAACACTAAGCTAGAGCTTTTTATTATGTGCTTACTGTAAGTCATGTATCCAGTTAAAAGAATCCAAAACTAGAAACAAAAGTCAATGACACTTGTGCATAATCTTTCACGAATTGATGATTACTTTGGAGCTTAAGGTCCGCAATAAACATACTGTTTACAAATTACTTATAATAGTTATTAAGTACACTCATAGTCTGAATGTTAAAGGGATTTTTCTAATTGGGACAAACACTGTACCTCATTTCTTCTTTCTTTCTTTTTACTCTGTTATATATCACATGTTTCAGAACAAAAGTTACATTCTCTGTCCACAGAACGTTTAAACACGTTTAGTTGTTTAAAATCCAAAATTTTCACTAAACGCTTGTGGGAATATTTTAGAACCTAACTTAAAAAATCCAAAACTTCTCAGATTCTTATTAATTGACTAGTATATTTAAAGTCATGATAAGATTAGTTTCGTACCAGGCCTTTTGCTAACAACAACAACAACAACAACAACAAATGCATTTCACCTGCATTTTGTGAACTGGGAGAAGAATGACAAAGTTTTAATCATGAAATAATGATTTATAAATAGTTAGCATAACAATCCTTTAAAAATTTGCAAGTATTTTATTTAGAATCTCAAAATGTCTAGGAGCGATATCCGTTACAAATTTACAAATGTTTTGCTACGTTCAAAAAATTAAGCATAAATATCCATTTAAATGCCGAGAAGAAAAAGGTAATTTTTTCATCACAGTAAACGTTTATGTACATCTTCTCTGAAAGATGTAATGTTACATTCTAACGGTGTCATAAGTCTGTGGCTAGAGAATGAAAATAATATTATAATAATATAATTCATTTTATTATTTTAATTTAATGAAAGGGTTTCACAGAGACATGGATCTAGAGTAATGCGAATGTCTTAGTACTGACTTCACCAAAACATAATTATTTGAATTATATGGAATTAAGTTTTCATTCCATATGTTGAACTGTATGATACTTGAAGTTTTAGTTTGGATGAATTATGTTTCTAGTTTAAATGAAATAAAAGACATTAATCTTTTAGCATTTAGTTTATGCTATAGACGTATGAAACTTTCTAACTAGCAATCTTATTCGTCAAAATACAACACTGAAAGTAGCAGAGCTCTATCAAAATGTCAATTTTAAAGGTTAGTAAAAAATGTTTTGGAGATCAAACATTACGAGTACACTACACGAACTCCACCGAAATGTCATTATAAAGTTGAAAAAGTTAAAAAAATCTATTGTCAAAACATAAAACAAAACGTAGATGAGCTCCATCACAATGTCGTTTTAAATGTAAAAATATAAAATATATTTAAAAATGTACGGTGGAAACAGAACTCTTAAGGCAGATGAGTTCCATCAAAATTTCATTTTAAAGGTAAACAAAGAAATAGATGTCTTCAAAAACAAACTCACGTACCCATGAAATTGGCAGGATTAAACATTTGTGTTTTTAACTTTTTTCTGTGGACAAACGTGATTGAACAGCTATAGAGAAGATAACCGCTGTTTTTGTTTTCATTTCTAATATTCTTTGTTTTTTTCTTGTTTGTGACGTTATGTGCATTTAAGTCATGGATAACCGTTTTTGTTTTATATTAATGAAAAACAGAATAAAAAAATCATCGAAATAAGAGCAGTAACATGCAGAAGTTCTATGACCCACGTGATTAGAAGTAGAGCAGGCTATAATGAGATGCGGCCTGTATTTTTTTGTAATAGGGTGTTTATCTAGCATAATCATTGTAATACGGATATTAAAACAAAATAAACTTCACTACAAAACAATGACATCCTATTGCATAGGTGTATGGAGTTATAGGCTAACCGTATATGATTGATGGTTTAAAACAACAGCTGCCTCTAAGTAAGATAACGTTTATGTCGCATTACAATGATGAGTAAAACGTATTTTAAACAAACAGTATTAAGTAAACAATGTGTTTATGATCTTTTTGTGTACGTATTCATATAGTTCTGTCTGTGTTGAATATATTGTTGAGGCAACAGAGAGACCTAATGTTCCTTATATGGAATAACCAGTTCTCGGTAAATGACAAGGCTAATAATTGCTGACGTCACGATGATTATGTATACTTCACGTTTTTAATGACCCTCCCCCCTAAAGACTTTTCTGAAATATTGTCCCTCCTCTAGTGCTCTGAGTAGTCGCCTGAAATTCTTAACAGCTTCACTTATTTTTTCTGACCTCGACTGGAAATGTTTGGGGCTCCAAAGCTACCTGTTCCTACCACTTCAGGATGGCGTATACACCCAGTTTAAAACTGAATATAACTTATGATTACCTGGTGCTTTGGTCGGCTCTTATACTCATCGTCGTCTTATCGCTTCCATTATCTCAGTCGTTTTTTTTCTTCTGATGTTTTGCTAAAGACAGTTTAAAGAGCAGTGTTAACTACCGAGAAAGTCCCTTAGAATTCCTACGAACTTCAATTGACTCTAATATACATGTAAATCAGTATTTTCTCTAAACATAAAATACGTGTAATTCATCGTCCTTTTGCTCTATTCTCTCACTTGCAGAATAGAGGTAGAAACAAATTCAGAACCTGAGAATGTTTGCTTAGGAAAATTTAAATACAGAACGAGACAAGGAAAAATATTGATTCTGGTTTATCTGAAATCACACATGTGCAGTTACATAATTCCAATCACAATTATCTTGTTGACATTTGATTTAATTCACCCGATTATGCATTTCAATCACAGAAACTAATCGTCTCAAGTTATTGAAAGTGTACGGGATTTTGCATTTTTATGATGTATATTATGAAATAAAAGGTAAACACTAAAAACACACAAACACGTAGCTTAAATAGAAACGATCCTACTTTTCTATAATATGTAATATCATACTTGCATTTATTACACTTTGCGTAATAAAAATTAAAAGGATATGTATTTTGGAGACCACAATAAAGTGCCTTGATTAGGAAACGTATTAATAGAATTTTTTTCCTGTCGTCAGAATACTAAGGTATTCGAAAAATATATCAATATAATACATTTTTATTTAAAAAAAACATTTTGTTTCGTCTGCTCAAAGAGAACAATATTATTTAGCAACCTAAAAGCATGATAAAAATTTCACGCTTTTTCATGTATGTTACAAATATCTCTCAGACCCACTTATTCACTTTTTCCATTTATATTTAATGAGGTTAAAAGTTAAGTATTGTTTGTTTGTTTGTTTTTAATTATGCACAAAGCTACACAAGGGCTATCTGTGCTCTGCCGACCACGGGTATCGAAACCCGGTTTTTAGCGTTGTAAGTCCGCAGACATTCCGTTTTGCTACTGGGGGGCAAAAGTTAAGTATTTACGAGTTGTTACGTATAACTATTTAACAGTGCAGTTTTTGGTTTTATACGCATACAAATGTGTATATGTTGGTTTATGTGTGTGTAGTATATATGTTTGTTTGTTCAAAGTTTTAGTAGGGAAACTAATATTGTTGGTAAAGTGTAAGAATTTAAAAAATGGGCAAGATCCTGAAAGGCGAATGTTGTAAGACTGATAGTGATTTAGTTACTTTATTATTTTAAGTTAAATAATTATTAACTCTTAAATAGGTAAGCCTTCCAGCATTATGGAAAAAGTCAAGTCTTGAATGAGTCTTAAAAATGTTTTTAAAAGATACAAGATATAAAGTTAAAGCATAGTGAAACTCAAGGATGACAAAAA